GATACTTTGTATTATCTCAGTGTTTTGGATTCTGTTGAGGGTTGCTCTGTGGCCTGAGATGTGGTCTATTCTGGAGAATGTTCCATGTGCACTGGAAAAGAATGTGTACTTTGCAGCTGTTGGGTGGAGTGTTCTATATATGTCTATGAGGTCAAGTTGGCTGATTGTGCCCTTTAGGTCTTCTGTATCTTTGTTGAGTTCTTTCTAGATGTTCTGTCCTTTACCGAGAGTGGTGCATTGAAGTCTCCTACTGTCAGTTTCTCATTTCAGTGCTGTTAAGTTTGTTTTATGTATTTTGGTGCTCTGTCATTGGGTGTGTAGATGTTTATTGTGGTTATGTCTTTATGCTGGATCGTTGCTTTAATCATGATATAATGCCCTTCTTTGTCTTTTATGGTCGATTTTGTTTTAAAGTTATGTTATCTGAGATTAGTATTGCCAGTGCTGCTCTTTTTTGGTAGCTGTTTGCTTGATATATTTTTTCCATCCTTTGATTTTTAATAAATTTACGTCTGTTTCTAAGGTGTGTCTGTTGTAGACAGCATATTGATGGATCCTGTTTTTTATCCATTCTGTCACTCTCTGTCTCTTTATGGGTGCCTTTAGGCCATTTACATTCAGTGTAATTATTGATAGGTGTGAGTTTATTGCTGTCATTTTGTAGTGCTTTTTTTTTGTGGTGCTGGCGTTTTCTTTGTTCCTCATACTTTACTGTGCTGAATTCCTTTTGTTTTGGTTTTTTTTTTCCATTTCTTTTGTTCTTGTAGATTTTGTTTTTACTGAGACTTTATTACGTTTTTCTGCTTTATTTTGATGAGTAAGTTAACTTTCTTTGTGGTTACCTTGAAATTTACCCTTATCTTCTTAGGTTTGAAGCAGTCTATTATTACTTGGTATCACCTTACCTTCCCCTCCGTTAGAAGGTTCTATACCTACACTGTTTATTTCCTCTTTTATTGTTCTGACGTTGTTGTCATTTACAGATTAACTTCTCTAGTTCCCTCTTATAATTCTTTCGTTTTTGGATAGTCCTTGAGAGTTCATTTCCTAGGTTGGTATCTGGTTGGTACGATCTTGCATCGTAGATTCAGCCTGTGGTCTGATGTTGCTTGTTCTCAGACCGAAGGACTCCCTTTAATAATTCTTGTATGTTTGGTTTGGTTTTTGCATAGTCCCTTAATTTCTGTTTATCTGGAAGTGTCCTAATTTCACCATCAGATTTGAATGAGAGTTTTACAGGATATATTATTCTTGGCTGGCAATTCTTTTCTTTCAAGTTTTGTGTATGTCATCCCATTGTCTTTTTGCCTGCATGTTTCTGCCAGATAATCTGAGCCTAGTCTTATTGTTTCTCCTCTGTATGTGACTTTTCGTTTTTCTTGAGCTGCTTTCAGGTTTCTTTCTTTGTCTTTGGTTTTAGCAAGTGTGATTATGATATGCCTTGATGATTTTCTTTTTAGGTCTATCCTATATGGGGTTTGTTGAGCTTGGTTTGTTGAGCTTGGTCGGTCAGCTTTTCATCTTTCATGATACTGGGGAAGTTTTCTGTCAGCAGTTCTTCAGTGATCCTCTCTGTGTTTTCTGTTTCCTCCCTGTTCTGGAACTCCGATCACTCGCAGATTTTTGCTTTTGATTGTATCCCACATCATTCTCAGGGTTTCTTTATTTTTCTTTGTTCTTTTTTCTGATTTTTTCTCAAACAAAGTTTATCCAAGTGTTTGTCTTCAATTTTGCTGATCCTGTCTCCTATCACATCAAACCTTCTCAGCCCTTCTATGACACTGTCCATTTCTGAAGTCTTGTGTTTATTTTGGATTTCTAATTGTTGTCTTTTTATGATTTCTAGTTGTGAATTTATTTTGGCATTTTGTTCCTGTATTATTTTCCTGAATTCTTTCTTTTTTCATCTGTATTTTCCATGAATTTGTCTGCCTTTTCCATGAGTTTGTCTTATTTTTTGCTCATTTTTGTCTGCTTTTTGCTTCAACTCTTGGATAGCTCTGAATATTAGAGATTTGAATTCCCTGTCAAGTAGTTCTAGTGCCTTGTCTTCTACTGGGAAGTCATCTGGTGTTTTATTTTGGACATCTACTGGAAACATCCTATCCCATTTTTTTTTTATATGTTTTGATATTGTCTGCTGTGTTTGGGACATTCCATAGTTATTTTCCTCATTTATTGATTGTAGATTTGTTTGTTTTGTTCTGCTTTTTTGTTTTATATGGTTATATCTGAGCAGGCAGGCTGTGCATGCTTTGTTGTTTGCTCATCTGTGGACATGATGCTTTTCATCTCGTCCAATGGGCAGGGTCAGTCGCTCAGCTATGGTGCAGCAGCAGGACAGGTCCAGCTGAAGGGGAGTTGCTGGAATGGGTTGTTTGTGGCACGTACTAGGGCTGGCTGGGAATCAGTGCAAGGCAGGTTCCAGTAGGCCGTGCCTGTGCTGCTCAGGGGTGTGATGTTCAGCACACAGTGCAGGTAGGTAGGAAGGAGGGGGGAGATTCTGATGTGTGGAGCTAAGATGGGTATGGGAAAGAGGAGAAGGAGTGAGAGAAACGGGCCAAAAACAAACAAACAAAAAAGTGCTAAGGGAGCTTGCCGTTTGAGTGGGGAGATGAGAAACCAAGAAATGGAGAAAAAGTATGAAAGAAAAACGGTAAATAAAAATAAGGGGAGAAAAAAGAAAAGCTCCCAGGGATCCCACTGGTACAGCTGTGACAGCTGGGGAAGTGGCTCCCAGGCCGCGAAATACAGCCTGGCTAGAAGGGGTAGAGGTTTCATACAGCGCCAGGTATTCAGGAGACAAGAAGAGAAGCTAATTATAGAGAGACAAGAGACCGAGAAATGAAGAAAGAGAAAAAAGAAAACGAAAACAAAGAAAAAATGTCCCCAGGGATCCGATTGCACAGCTGCTCAGACTGGGGAAGTAGCTCTCAAGCCACACAGTACAGCCCTCCTAGAAGGGGCTCCCAATCCGAGAAAAGAAAAAGAAAACAAACAAACCATAGCCCCAGGACTCCCACCAGCATGACAGCATGGGCTGGGAAGCCATTCCATGGTCAAGTGGCATTTCATAGCCTTTCAAGAAGAAGCAAAGATGGCACACGGAGCCAGGTATTTTAGAGAAAGGAGGGGGAAGTGGTGAGAGGTATGGAAGAAACCCAAAGAAGCAGAAAAGGGCAACACCAGCAACAAATGGCACTCCAGGAGCTGGCTAGTGTGGACAGGTGGAATCCAAGCAGTACAGGGCTCAAGCTGGTGCCTCCCGACCAAGAGACTGTGCTGCAGGAAGCAGAGGAGGCCAGTGGGAGTAAAGAAGGGTAGGGGGTGGGAAAGCGTATATTGCTGGTTACTGGTTTTTCTGTCTCCTGCTGGGAGCTCTGTGAAGCTGCTTTCCTGTACTCCCTGTTCGTCAATCGCCGATAGGAGTCTAAGATGGCAAATCCGTTCTGCATTGGCTGATAGGGGACGTTTGCATGTATCTCTCCTCGCTCTCTGTTCTCTTGTCATTTTCTTATTCCATTCAGTGCTTGGCTGAGTTTCTTTATCTCTTCATTTGATGCTTAGTGTTCCAGAACTGACGTATATCTCTGTTTGCCTTAGTTTTTTGGATCTTTGCTGTGGAGGGATGGCGTGGTGCTTCTGTCTGTAGTGCCATGTTGCCCAGAAGTCAACGGTTCAGATTTTAACAGTAATTATCAGAACAAAACAGCCAGTACACATTTTTGCCTAAATTTCCTGATTTTACTCAGACACTTTGTGTTTTTAACTGTCATCTTGATGTTTTAGTCCCTTTGTCCTACCTCATGTAAGCATCCTAACCAGCTGCAATTTCTCCTTACCATTATTTCTTCAAGCATTTAATATCTGAATCATCTACATGATATTTGTCACACCCTACCGCATTTTAGTTACTTACATGTGTCCATATTTAGCTCCCTAAGTAAACTAAATGCAATCCACTGGTGGTTTCAAACCCCTGATCTTTCAGTTAACAGTCAAACACTTTAACCACTGTGCCACCAGCGCTCCTTACAGTAAGTATTAAGGTAGAAATAAAGATAGGAGAGAAAGAAATAAACACATATTGCATAAAAGAAATGTATATTGAGTTGTGTTCTAATTAAAGATAGGATCAGGACATTTCCCACTAGCCTAAGCTGTTACAGTGGCCTCATAGAAACCAGACTTCTCTCTTCTTATAATTAAATGTATTTTTATATGCCACTCTAAATCCATCTAGCAGAGTGTATGGGGGGGAAACTTAAAATATATATAGATAGATAAGCAAGTAAGACTTCGAATTGGAAATATTGCAGTCTCTTCTTTATATTCTTTACAGTTCCTGCCACCAGTTGAATCATCACCATAGGGGGAAAGAGGGACAATTGGGGTGATACTTGTGGTTTATTTTTGTTCAGTTGCTTTTTTTTTTCCTTAAGGTTTATCACCTTAAAGTGATCTGGTAGTCTAGTCCAAAAGTGAAATAAGATATTGAGGAAAGTTATTTAGTTAGTATGAAATAGCTCCTAGAAAATGATATCCTACTCATTTAGGAAATGGATGTCACATAGGCACCTAAGCAAGGGTACATTTTCTTTACTGCTGACATATGCATACCTTCCCCCATCAGCTGAACATTCACAATGAGTCAGATCATCTGTGGCATAATGTTCCTTTAATGGTCTAGCCTCAAATCCAGCGAGGCCCTCTCTCATCAACACTGAGTACCAAAGATGTCTCTAGTGTTTGTCAATTCTTTCCGTCATTGCCTTTATAGAGAACCTGCCTGCTAGGGGTCAAGCACTACATGCTAAATAGGCTCTGGGAAGATAGTGAGGAGTCAGATAAGTTCTTACTTCCACCTTAAATCTCCTGTGACCTTTGTTTTTGGCAGAAAGAAGATATTTCAGATTCTCAGGTATCCAAGCTAAAAGAAAAACTGCTGCTGATCAGTGCTCTCACAAACAAACCTGAGAGCAACAGGCCTCCAGAGACTGCCAATAAAGGTGAGAGCAGGGCTGACTTCTGAATATTTCATGCAGGCTTGGGTAGCTTGCCTCCCACACAGGGAGAGGGCAGAGGTGTTCCATCAGTACTGATCGAGTCACATGAATGTTGCCTGAGCGCACCGAGATGAAGCTGATTACACTTTGCTTTCATTTAGAAAAAGCCCATTTTGTACATGATTTGTACTCCAGTCTATTAAGGGAAAAATGGGTAATGTTTAGCTGGAAATAGACTTCTCCATGCTGTCTGCATCCAATTATAGGCAAAAATGTTACTGTCATAGGGTTTATCAAACCAGCCCTAAATGTTGTTTATAGGCGTCTTCATTTCTGTAAGTGCATAAGAATTACTTAAAAATAAATGTTGGTCCTTCTGAAAATCTCTAACAAATAATAATGGGATCATTGAGTTGGAAGGACTCAATGATTAGGTAGGGACATACCTAATCAATACTAGCAGATGCCTCAGCCTCTACTCTTTTAGGCCCTATGAGGATATAACCAAGATGCTGGACTATGTTGGCTTTTTGACACCCCCCCTCCCCCCACCACCAACTATCGTTCATTTTGGGAAAAGCAATGCAACCTCTCTTGAATTATCTTTTGAGTGGGAGATAGAACTACTGTGGGAGGCCTTACCCTAACATTGTACTAGATAATCCTATGGAATCATTCTTTCAGCACCAGCTTGGCTAGTGGCACATACCCATGACCTGGCTTATAACAAGGCTCCTAGGATGTTAAAAAGATCTTTCATATCCAACCACTATGTTGTTCTCACTTACAGCTTAAACCCTTAAATATACTATAAGATCTTCCAGTGGGACTGCTGCTTCAAACCTAACATAATACTGATTTATCTTCACTTGCCACAAAACATACCTCAATCCAAGCCTTTAACTTCACATAGTCACTATGCTATTTAATTTGCAGCTATTTCTCTTAAACTAGTTAAGTGCCTATGCAAATGCCCTGAAAGGTGACCTATAATATTAGCTTAATTTGGTATCAGATTCCACAATACTAAAACCATGTGTTTTTGTTACAGAGCAAGTACAGAGTTTTACATCAGAGCCATCAGCATTGCCAAAATTTTCACAGTCTCTTGGAGACCAAATTGAGAAAGCTGCCCAGCTAAGACCTATCTCCCTACCAGGAATTTCAAGCATTAACGGTAAATTGTTATCCTATGGGGTAGTAGAGGAAATGTTCAAAGTAATAATAACTTTTTAATGTTTTTTAACGTGTAAAAAAAATTATACCTACCATTTATTGAGTTCTTTATTTGCATTAAATATACAATCCTTATAACAATCCTATGAACATAAATATCCTTACCCATGTTACTGATTGGCAGACTGCCTAAATTCACGAAGCAAATATTTGGTCAAGGTAGAATTCAAACTGAGGCAGCCTGACACCAAAGCTTGCACTTTTAATCAGTACACTATATTGCCTCTCTGATAATGTTTTTCAAGTCTTCATTCGTTCACTAAGTGTGTAATTAGAGCCACTGCTAAGCAATAAAAATACAGCATAAGATATGGTCTCACTTTCCTCAAGGATATTACAGTCTAGTGGGGAAGGCATACAGGCAAACACAGTACTGTGAGATTAGCAAGATAAACATTGACCCTGTTCGTCAGGGCTGTCCAAAAATGAGGGGCCCTTTTGCTGAAAAATCAGCAAGATGAACATTAGTGGGAAGGGTGTGATTCACAGAAAGTGGGTTTGCCTTGTTTCCAGGAGTGTGTGTTCTTTCCCTCATTGTAATGTGTAGAGCCTCCCTATTTTGCATTTGCTAACTACCTGGCAAATCACCCCATTCTTGCCCACCCCCTTTGCCTGGCTCTTCACCTCAGCTTAGATACCATTCCTCCAAGAAACATATCTTTACCTCCAAGGACTAGATTAGGTTCTTCCTGTGTGCACTTGTAATATTTTGTTTTTGTCCCTTCTTAGTACATGTCTGTATCCTGGGGAGATATAAAATTTAACTTCTTATGGGCAAGGACTATTTCTTGTTCATTATAATACTCCCAACCCCTAGCACAGTGCCTGGCACACAGGAATATTTGTTAAGTGAATAAATGAGTTCTCTATGTTGTTGCTGTTGTTAGGTGCCATCAAGTCGGTTCCAACTCGTAGCCACCCCATGTACAACAGAACGAAACACTGCTCAGTCCTGCGCCATCCTCACAGTTCTTATTGTACTTGAGCCCATTATTACAGCCACTCTGTCAATCCATCTCATTGAGGGTCTTTCTCTTTTTTGCTGACCCTGTACTTTACCAAGCACGATGTCCTTCTCCAGGGACTGATCCCTCCTGATAACATGTCCAAAGTATCTGAGACATAGTCTCGCCATCCTTGCGTCTAAGGAGCATTTTGGTTGTACTTCTTCCAAGACAGATTTGTCATTCTTTCGGCAGCCCGTGGTATGTTCAATATTCTTCTCCAACACAATTCAAAGGTGTCAATTCTTCAGTCTTCCTTATTCATCATCCAGCTTTCACATGCATATGAGGCAATTGAAAACACCATGGCTTGGGTCAGGCACACCTTAGACTTAAAGGTGACATCTTTGCTTTTCAACACTTTAACGAGGTTTTTTGCAGCAGATTTGCCCAATGTAATGCATCGTTTGATTTCTTGACTGCTGCTTCCATGGGTGTTGATTGTTGATCCAAGTAAAGTGAAATCCTTGTGACAACTTCAATCCTTTCCCCGTTTATCATGATGTTGCTTATTGGTCCAATTGTGAGGATTTTTGTTTTCTTTATGTTGAGGTGTAATCCATACTGAAGGTGTGGTCTTTGATCTTCATCATTAAGTGCTTCAAGTCCTCTTTACTTTCAGCAAGCATGGTTTTGTCGTCTGCATATCACAGGTTGTTAATTAGTCTTCCTCCAATCCTGATGCCGCGTTCTTCGTATAGTCTAGCTTCTCAGATTATTTGCTCAGCACATAGATTGACTAGGTATGGTGAAAGGATGCAGCCCTGATGCACACCTTTCCTGACTTTAAACCACTCAGTATCGCTTTATTCTGTTCGAACGACTGCCTCTTGATCTATGTACAGGTTCCTCATGAGCACAGGCAAGTGTTCTGGAATTCGAATTTTTTGCAATGGTACCCATAATTTGTTATGATCCACACAGTCAAATGCCTTTGCATAGTCGATAAAACACAGGTAAACACCTTTCTGGTATTCTCTGCTTTCAGCTAGGATCCATCTTACATCACCAATGATATCCCTGGTTCCACGTCCTCTTTTGAATCTGGCTTGAATTTATCTATAGGCAACAATTGATGATTAAAGACTTAAATTTATATAGCCATTTAAATGTAATTACTTTTTTTCCATAGTGTGATTTTTTTTCTTTGTGTTTCCTGGGGAGGAGGGTGAGTATTGAGTATTGCTTCCTTCTACTTTCCAAGAATTGATGAGATTGAATGGGAGAAAAACTGTTAGAACAGATTAAGAAATAACTGTCTTAACATTTTGTACTTTGGTCCCTAACATAAGCGTTACACACTTTTGAATGACTACACTTTTAAAATGACCTGAAGCAGTAATCATAGGAGCCCTGGTCACGCAGTGGTTAAGCGCTCAGCTGCTAACCGGAAGGTCAACAGTTCAAACCCACCAGCCGCTCCACGGGAGAAAGATGTGGCTGTCTGCGTCTGTAAAGATTTACAGCCTTGGAAACCCTATGGGGCAGTTCTGCTCTGTCCTGTGGGGTCTCTGAGTTGAAATTGACGGCAGTGGGTTTTTTTTTTTTTTTTGGAAGCAGTAATCAGATTTTTATTTTAATTTTGCTACCAAGTGCATAATGTATTGTATAAACTCACACCACCAATAAATAAATAAACACGCACTCAAACAAACAAATGAGTAAGTAAATTTTAAAAAACCATTTTCCAGCTAGCCACTGGGTTGCAGGCATTGGGAACAAGCATCCCATCTGCTTTTCTGGCTTTCGGAGAGCTTTTGAGGTTCTATTAGCTGTGTTGCTGGGATAGCTTAGGAGTGAAACTGGTACCACATTCAGAAGCTTGTCTACAAGAACTCCTTGATGGACTGAAACTTGTGCTGCAACTGTTTCCTTGAGGTTTGGGCCAGTTCCATTCTTTCTGAATAGCAAAACAGCAGGAGGCTGACTGAATCTAGGTGTGGAATTGAGTAAAGGAAGAAAGGAATTTGAGAAGATGTTTAAAGAAACAGAAGCCACATTGACCTTCTAGTATTACAGACTAAATCTTCTACTAAGACATTCTGTGGAGACACAATCAAATCCTTTTAAAATGCTTTATAAATAATCAGCTCTCCTAAGTGTTTTATGGAGCCCTTGAGAAAATACCAGAAGAGACCATTGATAGAAATTCTCCAATCCTGTTGGCTTAA